TCTAAGTGGTTTACAGAGTCAGCATATTGCCCCCAACAATCTGGGTCCTCATTTTACTTCATTTCACCTCAGAAGGATGGGAGGCTGAGCCGACCTTGAGCTGGTCAGGATTGAACGCATTGAACTCCTGACAGTCGGCAGAATTTGCCTGCTATAGCAATAACACTCAGACTTATATACCGCTTCATAGTGCTTTACAACCCTCTCTAAGCGGTTTACAGAACCAGCATATTGCCCACAATAATCTGGGTCCTCATTTTACCCACCTCGGAAGGATGGAAGGCTGAGTCAACCTTGAGCCGGTGAGATTTGAACTGCCGAACCTGCAGCTTAGCAGTCAGCTGAAGTAGCCTGCAGTGCTGCACTCTAACCACTGCGCCACCTCGGCTCCTCTACCTGTATATAGGCAAAGGCTTTCTGGTTTCTTTCTAACAGTCTTCCTGTGATCCAGCTAGGACAGGAGTCTCCATATTCCAAACTCGGCCACTTTAAGACTTGTGGATTTCAACTTCCAGAATTCCTGAGTCAGCCAATTCCCAGAATTCCACAGATACCCATGCTGGCTGAGGAATTCTGGGAACTGAAGTCCACAAGTCTTAAAGTTGCCAGGTTTGGAGACTCCTGAGCTAGGAGATAGGTCTCTTTACTGATAAGGGGGAATCTTGTAGCTGGTTGTTCCCATACAGTAATAGTCTCCTGAACCACAATCAGCCTGAGAATTCAGAATCCGTTTTTTGTGATTGTTCCAGTGACTGCTGGAAAAGCTATTTGATATGATCCTATTTAGCCTTATGCTTCCTACCTTAACGGGCAGGTGTTCTCCAAGGTTAGGGAAGAAGGGTCCTGCCATCTCTTTGATACTGATCACGTTCAATTTTCTTTATGCAAACCGCATACTAATTATCCCTCTTTTGTCTTGGATGGTTTAAATAGAAAAGCATTTGCAAAACAATTGCTTTCCGGCAGTTTATATGACTCAGAATTGCTGAATGCTGTCTGTATTTTGGCTGGCACGTGTGGGATTGAATCGGCCTCCCTCCGTTTCTGCATTCTTTGTTGTTTCCTTCTTGTATCTATAATAATATGCAGATTTTTCCCCCCTTCATGCATATTACAACAGTTATATGCAGATGCACGTATTTCTTTCCTTTATTTTAAAACCTCCCACAATGCTTTTAAGATTTATTTCTCTCGCCCCCACAAATATTTTAACAGTGATATTGCAACCAGGTGTGATGATTCGCAAAGTTTGCTCAACCCACAAACAGGGGTGTCAAACTCAAGGCCCGGGGGGGGGGCTGGATCCAGCCCACAGGGTGGCTTAGATCTGGCCCAAAGGGCTGCCCTGGAAAGAGTGAAGGACCAGTCCGCAGTGCCTCTGCCAGCGAAAACGGAGCTCGGGAGGGGTGCGTGCGGCCCTCCCGAACTCCGTTTTCGCTGGCAGAGGGTTGCAGGAGGCCGTTGCAGCCGAAAACGGAGCTCGGGAACCCGTTTTTGCTGGCAGAGTGCTTGGGCCACCACAGGCACTCCCAACACGAGTGACATTGAGCTGGCCACTTCCATGCCCACCCCCGCCACACCCACCCCACCCCGCTAAAGTCAAACACAACCTTGATGCGGCCCTCAGTGAAATCGAGTTTGACACCCTTGCACTAGTGGGTAAAGCTTCTCATCACAGCAGTAAAATCAGAAACAGTTCCTTATAATCGTACCAATCTCTGAAAACTCTTCAGAGGAAGCCTAAAATTGATAAGTAAGGCTTCCTTGGGCACTGAAGATAAAGAGAACGGCGTATCTGAGTTTGTTTCCTGGTAACATCCAGGCAGTTTTGTTAACAACAGTAACCGGGAGATAGAGTGCCAGTTCTTTCTTCACCACTAGGACTAGCCAAACACAAACCAGTAATTAATGCCTTGTGAGATCAGCCAAAATCAGCTGGGTGCTATTTCAGCTGTGTTGTGTCTGCAACTCTCAAAGCAAATTGCAATGTTCAACGGGACAGAAGTGGTAAAATATTAAACCTACGAGAAGAAAGCCCATGCGCTGCATTTTATTATATTTGAATATTTGATCCAATGTTGTCTCTTTACCTGCCCACTGTTTCACTCGCTTTTAATAATCCGATCACTGGCGGTATACCATTCAAGGCCCAGGATGGGTTGATATTGGTTGATGGATGGATGGATTGTATGGCACATTCACATCGCATTTGGATAGAAACACAATACAATATAAAATAGGATCATAAATATATGTCTAGATTACGAGTGTAATTTTTGCTTCGTTTGCCACAGCCAGAAAATCTGAAAAGTCTCCATTATAGGCTCTATTTTGGCACTTTAACACTATATTTTGGATGGTTTGTTTTTCACCCTGCAGTCACAATTCAGTGATGGTATTTTACTCCAGTTACAGAGGGTATCCGCACATCTACCGTGGCCAGTGCAAATTCGGTACAGTGTTTGGCCATATCACATAGGGCTGGTCAATCCCGGTGGGTTTTTTTTCAAGATACAAGGCAAATGTTGACAGTGTGGGGGACAATTTTTTAAATTCAAGATTGTTCCCATATACCAAGGGAGCCTTGGTAGTACAGTGGTCTAAAGCACCCTGTTATTAAGACCAGCTGCCTGCAATTACTGCAGGTTTGAATCTTGCCAGGCTCAAGGTTGACTCAGCCTTCCATCCTTTCTAAGGTAGGTCAATTGAGGACCCAGTTGTGGGGGCAATAAGCTGACTTTGTATAAATATACAAAAGGATGAAGGCTATTGCTTAACGCATTGTAAGCCGCCCTGAGTCTCCAGAGAAGGGCGGCATATAAATCAAATAAAAAAATAAATATATATATATATATATTGTGTATGTTAAAATCATCTTCAAATCTAGGTATCCCCGGTCCGTGGACTGCCACCGGTCCATGGCATGTCAGAAACCAGGCCGCACAAACAAGTGAAGCCCCATCCATGGAGTGCAGGCAGCACATGAACCGGTCCCTGGTACCCAAAAAATTTTGAGGCCACTATATCTAATCTACAATCTACTTTAGCAATAATACTGGTAATACCTGGATGTCTTAGATCTCAATGGGTTAACAGACAAACCTAGATTACGCAGCTTGACCCTCACTTAAATTCTGTCCTGGGTTTGATGCGAAAGAGACATCAGCTTCAATGCTTGAAATCTATATATTGCATAATTTCAATTTAAATAATTGAAAAAAAAAAGTCCCCTTTGTAAGAACAAAATCACTTCACCAAGAAGCTTCTTCAGTTCTGCCTTGAGTTATAAATGTAAAAAGGTGGGATAAAAATCTAATAAATAACACAAGTAAGTAGGGATGATGGTAACATGATGATATAGTGAAGGATAAAGGAGCTGTTTAAAGGGGGGGGGGGAGGATGTAATTCACAGGCCTAATTTTTAATTGTTGTTTTATCCTGTTGTTTTATGCTTTACTAGCTGGACACCCCATGCTTCGCTACGAAACTATGCGATCGGGCTTGATAACTTGACACTTAAAGCTGAAACTTAATGTAGAATGTGTAACTCCGTAGCGTCAGAGCGTGTTAATATAAGGCAACTGGCAGTTGGAACAGAGGGGGGTGGGGACTAGAATATCCCAGCCCGCAGGCTGGATGAGTCACACTCTGGCCACGCCCATGTCTGGTTTAGCGAAGGGGTAACAGCAGAGGGTGTCACTATAAGGCAACTGGCAGTTGGAACAGAGGGGGGTGGGGACTAGAATATCCCAGCCCGCAGGCTGGATGAGTCACACTCTGGCCACGCCCATGTCTGGTTTAGCAAAGGGGTAACAGCAGAGGGTGTCACTATAAGGCAACTGGCAGTTGGAACAGAGTTCTTTTCAGGTGGGGAAGGGGAGTAGAACATCTAACTCCGTAGCATCAGAGCGTGTGAATATAATACTGTATATGGAATACTAATGATCTGATGGTCATTTCGAAAAATCTTTTCTTAGCGAGCACCTAGAAGCCAAGAGGAACATACGTGCCAAATTTCAAGTTTGTAGGCTTTACAGTTCTGGAGATTTCATGATGAGTGAGTGGTATTTGGCTTTTATATATATACAGATTGCATGCCACTCAGAGTCACCTCCGTGAGATGGGTGTCTATATAAATTTGATAAAATAAAATAAAAATGACAGTGGGGAACCCTTGTAGAAGAAATGGAGCAGGTAAGGTGGACCAGGAAGCGACAGGTTCACTTCAGACATGGAAATTCACTTGTGGCCAATGCCTGCCTTCCTCCCAGCCCAGCCTACCTCGCAGGGTTGTAATAGGAATAAAAAGAAAAGAAACCTCCATGGAAGAAGGAGTCTTCAATACCTGAAGGAAAGGCAGAAAACTCTCCCCACAGAACCCCAGATTCTCTCCCCTTCTCCCTCTGCCGCCAAGAGGATTATTAAGTGCTGGAACAAGACTAATATGGGCCCCTCACCTACACATGGACACATAAATCAATAATGTCATAATTGTACATTTATTTCATTCAAACATACTTGCAAATATTAAAAAGAGGGCAGGTCCTTTTGTAAAAGACAATAAAAACAATAATACACAGTATATAAACAATAATGAAACAATATACATAAGCAATGAATTTAATACTAGATTGATTACAAGCTCGTAACAGTTACGATAGTTGAGATGTAATGGCCTTTATATTCTGTTAAATTCAATAAATTACATAAATAACTGTTCACTGAGTTTTAGATTAATAAAGGCTATGTCAAACAAGGCTGCAAGGCGGTTTTGCTATACACACAAAGTATAGAGCAGGGGTCCTCAAATTATGGCCCGTGGGCTGAATACGGCCCACTGAAGCCATTAATCTGGCACACACGGGACCACGAGGCTGCCCCGCCCACATTGCCCCACCTACCCGCCGCCCCCCCACCTCCTGGAGGCCTCAGGAGGCCAAAAATGGCCCCAGGAGCATAACAAATTAAAATTTAATTAAAATGTTTAATGGGCTGCTAAATTGGCCATGCCCACCCAGTGACATGATCACCTAGCCACTGCCACCCAGCCCGTCCGGCCCCCCAAAGGTCTGAGGGACCGTGAATTGGCCCCCTGTTTAAGAAGTTTGAGGATCCCTGGTATAGAGTATGAAGTATATATCCAATATTGTTTTTCTTTTTTAAAAATTTGATTTTGTAATTTTTTTTTTAAAAAATTCCCTTTCATGGGCCCCCTTTATGCTCCATGGGCCCTGGAACAACGTACTGGCTGCACCATCAGCTGCTGTGGCCTAGAGGTGGAACTCTTGCCTCACAATCAGGAGGTTGTGAGTTCGATCCTAGGTAGAGGCAGATGTAGGGCAGATGCTTGGGCAGTGGGGTTGGACTAGATGACCTGCAAGATCCCTTCCAACTCTGCTAATTTATTAAAACTGTTGATGGGGCACAAACCAAAAATATTCTCCCAGTGCCATCTAGATTTTGGGACCAACAATTGGGGCCTAGCACGTCATCCCTTCTGCCAGCCTTCTTCAGTCTGGGTTGAGCTGAGGATACTAATTCCCTTGGCTGGGGATAATTGTTGTTGTAGTTCCTCCCCTTCTGGGGGAAGGGGGGGGAGGATAGTCCCTCCCTCTCTAGTCTGCTTTTTGTTTTGATTCCTTCTCCATAGGTGAGCTGCGAGCCCTGTTCTCCCTTTCCTCCCCGCTTCCCCATTCTCTTTTACACTTTAATTTGTTTTTCATTAGTTCCTATGGCAACCACGAATGTATCCGTGGCGGGTTTTGAAATTAAGAGAAAATGAGTGCAGATTACCGAAAAAGGGGGTGGGGGGGTGGTATTTGAGATCAAAGAGGCTGACGAGAAATAGCCCTGCCTGAAAAATTGGCCGTTAAGCCAGTCTGTTTTCTTCCAGAAGATAGACTCCTTATCCTTGCCATTATAACTAGCTCGAGATCTTGTCCAGGGAGATAATCCTTTGCATTTCCCCCTCCAAAATGCAGAAAAAGAACGGCTGGTAAGTTTTTTGTTTTTGTTTTTAGTTTGTTGTGGTTCTTGTGATGCAAAAGGCAGGGGAACATGGTTTCTCTCTCTCTCCTCCCTCTGTTCTGGTGCCCCTCCAAATACATGGGGTGATAGTCCTACAAATTCCTGCCCGAAGGCCCATGGTTCTGCATTGTGGCCACCAAGGTTAAGGTTCACCCTGCCTAGCTAGAAGGGGCCAGATTGAAGGGGAAGGATGCTGTTTTGACTTAAAAACAAGCTGGTTTGGCTTTCTGGTGCCCAGAAAGCCGGAGATGCAGTCTTCAAGGCAGAGAGGCCTAGTGGGTAGAGTGCAGTGGTGGGTTGCCCCTGGTTCACACCGGTTCTATAGCGGGAGGCTCCGCCCACCGACCCCGACGTCATCAGAACGCTTCTGCGCATGTGCAGAAGAGCGCATGCGTGCATGAGCAAAACGAATGCGCTCATGCGGCCCCGTTGCGAACCGGTAGTAAAGGTAAGTAGAACTCACCCCTGGTAGAGTGGTGCGTCTGGCACTGTGGGGACGGTTCACTTATTACTAGTTCTTCAAAAGGTTACCTTTCTGTTTTTCTGGATTGTTAATCACGGTGCATAGACACCAGAGGTGGGATTCAGCCGGTTCGGGCAAACTGGTAGTGGCGACCTGCAGGTGGGCCCACCCACCCGCCTGGGTGCAATCCCGTCCTATATCGCTGTGTTTTTGATGTTGCACGCATGTGTGGACGGCACGTGCAAATGCGAATTGCCGTGTTTTGTGACGCCACAAACATGCACTCACATTTCCGGTGCTGGGCGAACCGGTTGCTAGAGTTATGTGAAGCCCATCTCTGACAGATACGTCTTTCAGATTTCTCCTAGGGGTCTTTTTGACTTTTCTCTGGTAACTTGGGAAGGGGGTAACCTTTGTTTTTGTTATATGGATCTTTTCCCATTGATCTCTTTCCATCGCTACGATGCCCCTCTCTGGTTCCCTGTTCCTAAGGAGACCCCCTAGGAGAAGCCCCCCCCCCCCGGGGGGAAAAAGTCTGGAAACTCTGGAAAACTGCAGATAAGTTGGAGAGAGGTCATACAGGGAGAAACGGGAGGCAGCAAGATCAGATGCTTCCGTAAAATTAAATGAGAGAAGCAAGGCTACGCCCTTGCAGTTCAAACCCCGCCCCTTTTGGACGGGCCTGTGATGTCACAATGCACAGAACAAAAGGGGCAGAGCTTGCATCACTGTGGGGGCGGGGCTGCTTTCCTTAGCTTGACCTCTCCTGAGGATGCCTCTCTGTTCACTCCTCTCTCCCCAACTTGGTTCCTTTGCAAAATCATTTCAGAAAGATCATTTCCCACCCAGCTTCTCTTCTGCTTGGAGAGCAGTTTTGAAAGCCAATTCTTTAACAGAATAACAGAGTTGGAAGGGATCTTGGAGGTCTTCTAGTCCAACCCCCTGCTTAAGCAGGCGACCCTATACTGTACCATTCCAGACAAATGATTGCCCAATCTCTTCTTTAAAATCTCCAATGATGGAGCACCCACAACTTCTGGAGGCAAATCGTTCCACTGGTTTATTGTTCTCACTGTCAGGAAATTTCTCCTTAGTTCTAGGTTGCTTCTCTCCTTGATTAGTTTCCACACATTGCTTCTTGTCCTACCCTCCGGTGCCTTGGAGAATAGCTTGACTCTCTCTTCTTTGTGGCAGCCCCTGAGATACTGGAACATTGCTATCATGTCACCCCTAGTCCAAGAAGTGATAGGACAGCCACTTGTCTGAATTGGTATTGGGTTTCCTGCCTGAGCAGGAGGTTGGACTAGAAGACCTCCAAGGTCCCTGCTAACTCTGGTGTTCTATTCTATTCTATTCTATTCTATTCTGTTCTGTTCTGTTCTGTTCTGTTCTGTTCTGTTCTGTTCTGTTCTATTCCATTCCATTCCATTCCATTCCATTCCATTCCATTCCATTCCATTGTTTAGATAGTTGCTCTTCTCTTTCTCCTTGAACAGAAGGAGAATTCAGAAGGGACAAATGTGCAAGGCAAGTTTTCCTTACATACGTACACATTCCAGCATTCTCTTTTGAGATAAGTAATAATACATAAAACATAGGAAGTTAATTAGAAACAATGAGGGTGAGATAAGAAAACTGAGTCAAATCCAATTAGTAGCCAGCTGGCTTTCCTGCCTAAGGTGGGACTAGAACTCACAATCTCCTGGTGATTTCTAGCCTGTTGCCTTAACCACTGGACTAAACTGGCTCTGGTTAAATCTTGTTTATCTACAGGTAGTCCTCGACTTACAGCCATAACTGAGTCCAATATTTCCATTGCGTTTGTTTGTTTTTTGAATATATGTTTTATTGGTGCATTTTTTTCATTAAAAACATAAACAATTCCATGTCTATCTGAACAGCGTGTCGTCTGGGCATAGTTAATTTTAAGTAAAGGTACAACAATAACCATAACCATACTAGTAATCAATATTGATCGTAAAATAAGAAAACAATTAGTTTATCCATCTTGCAATATTTTCAGTACAGATTTTTATTATCTTTTTGAGTTCTTTTTAAATTCTAACCTCTGTTTTTGTTAGTTAACCATTGGTAAAATGGTAAAATGCAAAACTCATTTAACAACTGCCTTACTTAACAATGGTAAAATGGGTAAAATATGTCCATTGTTAAGTAAGGCAGTTGTTAAGTGAGTTTTGCAATTTTTTGGCTACCGTTGCTAAATGAATCACTTGTTGTTAAGTGACTCACTTGTTGTTAAGTGAATCTGGCTTCCTCTATTGACTTTGCTTGTCAGAAGCCAGCTGGGAAGTTTATAAATGGTGACCATGTGATCCCCGGACAGTACAACTGTCATAAATACTTCTTCTACCCCGATAAATAAAATTCTTTCTTGACTTGAGCTCAACTCCTGGTTACAACAGACTTTGCAACATGGTCATTACTCTACTTTGTCCCCACACTGACGTCATCACGAGCCTCAATAATTTTACACAAAAGGCGCCTTCAAATGCTCTTCATCTGACATCACCTGCCAGCAATGCCCTTCTGGTTTCAGCTAAGGCAGGGGTCAGCAACCTGCGGCTCTGGAGCCGCATGTGGCTCTTTTACCCCTCTGCTGCGGCTCCCCATCACTCAAAATATGCGTCACAACCGCCAATGTGCAACACCCGCCGGCATGCAATTTTTTGAACTTTTCAACTCCTGGCAGGCCAACCATGGATAAATCCAAGAAAAAAAAAAGTTTCAGAAGAAAACAGAACATTTAATTCAACTACATACCGGTATGCTAGTTTTGTGGCCGCTCAAGAAATAGTCAGGCACGGGAAGGGTTTTGTGGCTCCCGGTGTTTTCTTTTCTGTGGGAAACGGGTTCAAATGGCTCTTTGAGTGTTTAAGGTTGCAGACCCCTGAGCTAAGGGAAACATTGTGCAAATGAATTCATGGACACAGTTTTGACATCAGGAGACCAAGCATTTCTCAACTTATAGCAATTCGGTGCCATTCAAAGTTACATCGGCACCGGAAAAAAAGTGACTTTTGAGCTTTTTTCACACTTACAACTGTTTTAGCATCCTCATCAAATCAGCTGTTGCGATTTGGCGAGATCCAGCCATGAATGGTGTGAATGGGTTTTAATTGTTTTTAATGGTTTAACTTTTAATGTTTTATATATGGTTTTTAAATGCATTGTAAGCCGCCTTGAGTCTTCGGAGAAAGGCGGTATACAAGTTGAACAAATAAATAAAGAATAAATAAATAAATCAGTGATGGGTTGTCCCCGGTTCGGATCGGTTCACAAGAACCGGTAGTAAAACCGGCAGGAAGCCCTGCCCACTGCCCCGGATGTTGTCATGGGCGATCTCCGCATGCACAGAAGAAAGGCGCGCGTACTCACTTTGCTCGCGCGAGTGATCCCATTGTGAACCGGTGGTAAAGGTAAGTAGAACCCACCCCTGATCTCCATGGTCAGGTGAACAAAATTCAAACACTTGGCAACTGATTCATATTTATGATGGTTGCAGCAGGGGTGAAATCCAGCAGGTTCTGACAGGTTCTGGAGAACCAGTAGCACAAATTTTGAGCAGTTTAGAGAACCAGTAGCAGAAATTTTGAGTAGTTCGGAGAACTGGCAAATACCACCTCTGGATGGCCCCAGAGTAGGGTGGGAATGGAGATTTTGCAATATCCTTCCCCTGAGGAGTGGGGAGGGAAAGGGGATTTTACAGTATCCTTCCCCTGGAGTGGGGTGGGAATGGAGATTCTGTAGTATCCTTCCCCAGCCATGCCCACCAAGCCACGCCCCACCAAGCCACGCCCACAGAACCGGTAGTAAAAAAAAACTGGGTTGCAGTGTCAAGTGATTCCCTTTTGCGACTTTCTGACAAGTCAAGTCAATGGGGAAGCCAGATTGACTTAACCACCGGATTACTAACTTCACAACTGCAGTGATTCACTTAACAACGGTGGCAAGAAAGGTCGTACAATGGGGCAAAATTTACTTAACAACCGTCTCACTCAGCAACAGAAATTTTGGGGCTCCATTGTGGTTGTACGTTGAGGACTACCTGTCATATCGCAATTTTTTTCAACCTCCCAGGAAGTTCCACAGCAAATTTTAAAGTTACTGTTTTTGGGAAGGTGGGATTTGAACAACATTATCAGCTGAGACATATTTCTTGTTTCCAAAATAGCTACTTTGAAAGCTCAACAAATTATTGGTAGCTGTTTTGAAAATATGGAAGGTTACAATCAGTTAAGGAAGATATTATGGAACCTACATAGATCAAAAGCTTTCAGCTTCACTCTGAAGGCCATAAAAAAACAGACTGGAATTTTAACACATTGGAGGTGTTAATTGACAAGGTACTGCCTCACATGCAGCCTCCATCTTGAAAACCAGCCATGTTCTGCCTTTCCCTCTTTTTTCCTTGCTTTATCGTAACTTAAATCCTGCCTCAGTATATCCCAGTATTTCTCAACCTTGATTCGCAGTCATCTAGGTCA